CCAGGCCAGCGACCTTCGTGTCCCCAAGAGCTACAAAGAGGCCATGGCGTCGGAGCACCGGCACCTTTGGAGCGACTCTATGCAAAGGTAGTTTTACGGCTTGTTGGAAGCAGGGACTTTTACTCCGGCGAAGTAGCAACTAGTGGAGAACGCAATTAACGCTAAGTGGGTATTCGATTGGAAGGCAGATGAATTTGGATGGCCCACTAAGGTGAAGTCGAGACTTGTAGCGAGAGGTGATATGCAGAGAGAGTACATTGACTTTGGAGAGCTGTACGCGCCTACCGTTTCTGTTTCGTGTGTTAGGATGTTGGCTGCGTTGGCGTGCGAGTTGAATCTCGACTTGTGTCATTTCGATATTGAGCAAGCTTTTGTGCGCTCGGAGTTGGAGGAAAACGTGTACATGCGTTTGCCACAGGGATGTGGAGCTCTATCTGGAATGATTGTAAAACTAGGCAAGAGTCTGTATGGCTTGAGACAGGCATCTAGGCAGTGGCATGCAATGCTGAAGAGGTGTTTAGTGGCGTTAGGTTTTGAGCAGTGCATGGCCGATGCTTGTGTGTTTCGTTTGATTGAGGATGGATGTGTTGTTTTGATTTTGGTAGTACATGTAGATGACATTTTTGCTGTGGGAGAGAGGGAGAGATGTGACAAGTTTGGCGCCGACCTTAACAAGTCCGTGCCAGTGAAGAACCTGGGAGAGTTGAGATGGTATTCTGGGTGCTTTTACGAGAGGAACAAGGAGACCGGAAGATTGACGATTTCTCAGCAGACTTTCACGGACGAGCTAGCAGCAGAATATGGAGTAGTGGGAGGTAAGAGCGTTCCGATGTCTTCGGGGGTGAAGCTTTCTGATTTTGATGCGGATGAGGTGGAGACAGACTTTCCGTTTCGTGAGCTGGTAGGATCGTTGATGTGGCTGGCGACTCAAACTAGGCCAGACATTGCGAATGCTGTAAGGGCAGTAGCTAGGTATTGCGCATCTCCGAAGCTGGTACACTGGAATGCAGCAATGGATATTTTAGGCTATGCGAGGAGGACGAGTCACTTTGGTATTTCGTTTCAGAGGGGTACAGTAGAAGGATTCAGCTTGCAGGGGTACGCTGATGCGGACTTTGCAAGCAAGGCAGCAGACCGTAGGTCGGTATCAGGGGGAGTCGTGACGTGTGGAGGAGGCGCTGTGTCTTGGTTTTCCAGAACGCAAAAGTGCGTCACGCTTTCGACGACAGAAGCAGAGTACGTCGCGCTTGGTGACATAGTGAAGGAGATTTTGTTTTTGAGGCAGATTTGGCGTTTCATGTTGCCGCAGGTCGGCATGCCGTGTATCCCCGTCTTCGAGGACAACCAGGGGGCGATTCAACTAGCGCAGAACCCCATCTCAAACTCGAACTCGAAGCACATAGATGTAAGGCACCATTTTCTCAGGGAACTGGTAGAGAGGAAGGAAATTTCGGTGATCCACGTGCCATCTCCGTACCAGCGTGCAGATTTTCTCACGAAGAGCTTGCCGAAGGACGCTTTCGAGTCTCACCGTGATTTTGCAATGAATTTGGCATGAACATTTTATTGTTTTTCTGATTGGTTGTGTTTTGATTTTGTTTTGTTTCTCGTTTTGTTTCCCGTTTTCTTTCATTTCTCGCGCCAAGTATTTGTTACGCGCGATGCAGTATTCATGTTCCTTTGAATTGTTTTTCCCTCTTATGTTATTCTGGTCGAGTATTGATGGCATATATTCTTGGAGAAGATGGCGGCAGATTAGTTCCGAACAAACCAGCACTACTGAAGAGAATCACATACTACCAACATTCCCCCCGGTTCTGCACAGTAGTGACTGCAGCAGAAAAAACAATAAATGAAATACACTTTCAAGTCGTCGGACCCTACTTGTGCAATGTTTGTCTGAAATTACCGATCACTGCGACATTGCAATTCAATACATAGATACCTGAATATCATCCTGAAACGGAGGTTGATTAGTCCTCTATCACAAAATCATAATTCAGCCGCTGCTCCTGTTCCAAACAAAGGGTAATCAATCCTAAGTTGAAACTTTCACAACTTTGGAATCGCAATCTCATAACAAATAGCAACCTCAAGACAACGTATAACAATATTCGGAAATCAGCATTTATTTCGTCAATATTGTGGATTTTTAATCTGCAACAAGGTGGATGTACCAATCAATGTTGCACGTCGCTGAGACTTCACACGTCTGTGGTACTCGCTAACACAACCAAGACATGAAAAGTTTTTGATCAGGTTAAACCTGCTACCGAAAGAAAGTCCAGATAAAACGTTGATCACGCATTTTTGATCAGGCTAAACCTGTTGCTCAAAAAGTAGCTACCAAAAAGAGCCCAGATAAAACGTTGATCACGTTGTTGCCGGCGAGAGAAAGTTGGTCTCAGCACGGCTGTCAGGAAGACAAAGCACAAAACTTCGCCAATCACTGCATTACATTACGCACAATACTATTTCTAATACCATGCTACACGCACACACAATATCATCAGTTTAGAAACTGGCATCAGTTTTTGAGGATTACTGGTAACCTGGATTGTGTCTACCCATTTGGTACAGGTAGTCGGCCTTTGACCGAGTGGTGGAGTTTGACGGCTGTACCGCACGACGTATTGTCGCGTTTTGATTGAGCAAGTGTTGGTGTTTGACGGCTTTACCGCGCAGCGTGTTGCCGCGATTATTCTAGAGAAAGAGTTGGAGAGAGAGTTTGACGGCAGTACCGGGTGGAGGTGGAGTTGGAGTAAGCGTTGGTGTTTGACGGCAGTACCGCACGGCGTAATACCGCGTTTAGAATCTGACGGCACTATGTAGGTAGGCGTACCGCATCACCGCATGGATGGGTGTATGTACACATAACGACAGCAGTCGAAAACTGACAAGTCATCACGTGCCTGTTCATGCCTACAAGCCCAGTAGACGGCGGGCTTCAGCTAACGATGGCGCTGCTGTAGGTCTTGTGGGTGCTGCTGCTGTGCAGGCCCTCGCCGCTGTTGGCCTCTTCGTCTGGTTGGATGTCGTCAGCCGCGCATGCGGCTGCCCATCGGTGCTACCCAATCACCCTCGACAAAGTCGTTAACGCTAGCGTGTTGGATAAACCGGGTAGGCCGAAGCTTGTAGGTTTGTGGAGAAAGGCTACTCGGCCGGTGAGGGCCGAGATGGGAAAGTCTTGTATTAGAGGGAAGAGGGAACAGCAGAGAACACTAGAAGGCGAGGAACCGAAGAGAGCATCACCACACCTATCCGTCACGCAATTCAGATCACTCATCGAATCTCCGAAGAAACCAAGCAGAAACTCCCTGTTCCTCCGCAATCTACCAACTGCAATCTCCGTAGATCCATGCCCCATATTCAACCGCATTTACTATGCTACGAGTATATCTAACACACCCCATGCACCAGCCCGTTGCTGGTACAAAGAGGTTGCTGCGGCATGTTGTATGCATTCTCTCTATCCCTAGACAAGCCCCCGTACAAAGCGGCGGCAGACGCACACCTTATGTTGATTCCACGCAGTTTGTTGCACCCGTGCAGCGTATCACCCGCACTCACTGGCTGTCGCTCCACACGGTATGGCGTTATTCGGAAGCAAAAAAAGCCACCGGGACAGATTTAACTTGGCGTCCGCCAATCAGCTGTCTCCATTTAACTTTGCGCCTACTTGGCGTCTTGCCTATTTTCGACAAATTTTGGCAATTACGCCGCTTTTTCTTCTGGGCGCACCGCATTCGAGCCAACCAGTTCAGAGCCTGACACACATACATCAGGCCGGAGCCTGGGCGCTGCAACTGACGCATACCAGACGCCAACAGCAGCAGAGACCACTGTGCACGAAGTTTCGCAGTGTCAATCCACACTGAGTGTCGATGACGAGTACGCAGCAGCACCCGCTAGAAGAAGAGCTACCAACACGCACGCACGCATCACGCACACACACGCGAATATTTTATGCCGAGCTACACTGCAGCACAGCAGTAGTAGTACCCACACCCAGGGATCCATGCATGCTTCTATATCATCTGCACGCCCCTTCCTCTCGCCAGAACACTTCAAGGAACGTGATGATGATGCTCTGGCAGCTCCGCGTTGTTTTTTTTCGCTCTCTTGACTCCATCTATCTATCGGTAGGTTCTTTTGTTGGAGTGAACACCCCACCCAAAGCAATCAATCGCCATCAATCATCCATCCATCCCGACGCGTCGGTTTGTTGACAACCCGCATGGCAGAAAATATGCACGGCGATTCTTTTGCTGCCCCAGTGACGGCACCTCTGCTCTGGTGTCTCCTTTCCTTCATCGATTCATTGAGTGAGGCGCAACATTTTGAAAGCGTTAGGCTCGCAGATGAATGGGTTTCACCGTTTATTGGCGGGCTTCGCCCGCGTAATTAAACTCCTAAAAGCTCTGTCCCGGTCTCGGTACATTAAAAATTTGCCGTGATGCCAATGATACGGACGAGAGACGAGAGACTTAAGGAAAATAAATACACACACAGAAAGACTTAATTAATTAAGGAATAATAAAAACACACACAGAAAGACTACCCATTCGAGATATACCCACAGTCGAACGGCATGTGGTGGAGTCTTTTCAGTGAGTTTACAAAGCGGCGTGATTCCTGCCGGTTCACGACATTGAAAATGAGGAGACGAGGAGGTTTCAAGATTTATTGGTTGTCCCGCCGCTCGTGGCTTGACCATGGCAGATGACAAATCTCTCTCAGGGCGACAGGACACGCGTGGGAATCCTGTACTCAACGCAGTATTGCCCGCGTGTTTCACGAACCACTGCAGCCGATGACACACCGCAACGACCGAATATAGAAGTTCCGCCGCACTCTCAAGCGGCTGGTTGCTGTTGTTGTTGAGAGCGGAGCGAGCGACCGGTGGGTCCGAACTCTTATCGACAGGAATCCCTGTCAACAATATGTGTACGAGTACATGCAGCTCTTGACCGCAAAGAAAAGGCGATGGGAACGGAAGAATGGCGGTCGCCTCGCGCAGAGCTGCACCAGACGCACCAACTCTAACTGCCCATGGTGGCTACTCCAGCAGTACCGGGCAACTCGCCTCCAAGACATCGACACCATCTCTTCCTCACGTACAGGTTAGCGCCCTGAACGTCTTGTGACAATTGTACTACTGTAGTGCTACTACAAGTACTTCCGTACACAAAACTAATTTATGTCACGCCGGTTGTATTGGTGTACACATTGCGGCAAAGAGAGGTGTACTTCTACATTATTTCGTTGTTGACGGTTGTACGTGTTGTAGAAACGTGGCTCCCGTCAAAATGAGCTCGTTTCTCTTTTCATGTGATGTGTATCTACTGCTGTGGTCACCATCCAGATGTTGTTTTGCCAGCCCAGGAGGCGGGGTTTGTGCATTGTTGTTGATCGACGTTGGGAGTAGTCGCGGTCGATTCGGATGCAATGATCTCGACTTTCCACCGCAGCTTGAGCCTAGACAAAAGCTTGATTTCAAAGCGACTGGGACATGAAATCCGTCATACGAAAACATGACAACATTGTAGCGGTAGTGGGCGTGTGGGACTTCCGCTACCCTCTTACGACGGATGCCCCTTCTTACCCCTCTGCTTGCAACATCTACGTACCGTTCTGTCCTACCTTTTCTCGTGAGGAGCAATGGCCCCTGGGGCGCATGTCGTAGAAGATATCCTCCACGATTCATGTTTTCGCCCGAATCCTTCGTCCTCGTGCCAAAAAAAAGCTTATGGAAAGAGATGGATATCCTTTGATAAAGTGCGAAAAATATAGAAATGTACCTTTTCGGCATTCCACAAACAACCTCCCTCCTCCTTCGGCAGTGCGGAATCTACGCGGTGCAATGCGTTTTCTGTTGACGGTTGTCTCTCGGGTAGAAGAACTTCCGCGATGGCAGCAGTCACTTTATCGGTGATGACGACGGCACACGTACGCCGCCATCACGACCTCTTCGGCGATAGAAGTATCCTCGCCTTCACACAGAATCCCCCCACGCCTACCTTCTGGTTCATCCCAAAAGTACTGATGTAGGTTGCGCAAGGTATCAAACACCCTGGACCGAGTTTCGAAGCTCGATATCTGGGCAGGAAAAGCAGTAGTGGTGCCAAGAATGGCCTCTCATGGAAAGCTTTCCGAAAACGTACTTCAACTTCGGCATCCTCTCATCGTGGAGTAGTCGAGGTTAGAAAATCGTTCCAGGGAGTGTGGTATCTTACGAAACCTACGGTAACCTGGACCGGCAAAAGCCCGGCGCATAGCTCCGTCCCGGCATTGTAGCGATGTGATGTCAATGAATGGTGTTGACGACTACGGCATGCGTTTACCGTAGGGCGCACACACCCTCTCCGGGGGGGCATTTCGTCGATTTTGATACTTGAAATCCATTGGGGAGACCAGATTCTAAGCTACGTCGCCGATACCAGTCCTACGGCGAAACCTTGATAATAGAGTTTTCCTGCCGGTTGGGGGATCTCACTTGCTTGCTTGCATCTTTGTGCTGTGCGTCCAGAGGATGAACAACCTAAAGGCTTGCTCTCTTGCATCTCTGTATCGCATGTTCAAAAGGAAGAGCAACCTAAACGCACCGTAGGTCAGGACAACGCACAACTGTTGTCACGATTCCCCGGAACGCGCAACGGAACACCCCTGTAACCCATCAGATTTTCTCAACTTTTTTTCTCGGAACCACTGACTCCTCCTACACCTACGTCGCACATGCTTTAACCTACCGCAGTTTGCGTCAGCGGGCAAGGATGGTGCTGGTGCGATTAGCTCAGCGTCCGCTAGGAGCTTGAAGATCGGGGGTGGGTCGAGCCAACTTCCAGCCTCAGCCGCCGAAGAACGGGATGCGGCGGCGGCGGCCGCAGCGGCGGCGGTGGCCGCGAAAAGAATGCCTGCACTGCCAGGCACTGAGAGAGGTGGTGACCGCATGGTTCCATTTGTTGCTGAAAATAGACGGTGCCATCATGTTGTTCGAGGATATATTATCGAGCACGTACAAATTAGCCTTAGCAACTTCTGGTTCAATGTAGTCACGTAGCCATAGTTCTACATAAAAACTTCTGCCTCATCGCAGTCGTCGTCGCCACACCACTTCGACGTAGGCGGGGGCGGTGGAACTGGGGGCGGGGCACACACAAAGAAGGCAGAACCCCTAACCCCAAGCACGAACAGAGAGGAAACAGAGCATTTTTCGAGATTTGCGGCGACCCTTCTCCAAAGAGCCCCTCCCCACCAAGTTGTGCCTTTCGTACTACGAGGTTCCTTTCCTTCTCATAACCCGTCCGTTCTCCAACCCCTGATCCGAACGCACGCAGGCATGACCACGGGCAACGCCAACACCAGCGTCAGCAGCGCCAGCACGGCCGCAGCCAAGGTTAGGGTGTCCTTCGGGGGACTAGAGGCGGGAACCGTAAACACCTGGGCCGGCGGCGGCGGCGGCCCAGAGGAGCCGGACCAACGAGACGGCAGCTCACACCACCGGAAAGGGGACCCCGCGGCTGCGAAGCACGGCACCAGCGCGGGGGGCACCGTCGTGTCTTTGATGAAACGGGGCGCCACCGAGCGCCGCAGCAGTAACGGCAGCGACGGGACGCCCGGCGGCGGGAGCTCCGCAGTTCCAGGGGGCCCGGCAAATGGAAACAGCGGGGTGGTCGGGGCGGGCGGTGCTGGGAAACCCCGGCGTCGGGCGCGGAGGGGGTCAAGGGGGGACGACTGCTCGAGGGGGTAAGCAGCGGGAATTGGGTCATACCCAGAAAAAGGAAGGGCACATGGCTGCCGTGGCTTCAAATATAATACGCTTTAGAAAATATGGTCAAAAGAAAAGAGAGACTACCCGTTCGAGATACATTTTTCTGCCTGCTGTCAGGTGGCCTCTCGACAAACACGCACTTTTTCATTATTTCCAGGCCCCGGAATGTGTAAATGTTTTCATGCTACATGGTGGCTGCACTGTATGTACATTGTGGCGGCACCGAGTCTATCAGGTTTCGATACTAGAGGTTTCGGCTCGCATGCTGCAGGTACCGCGTGGCCCAGAGAAGCAATTGCGTGGACGAATTACATTTCATCTGACGTGTCAGGTTCCGTCAGGTATCAAATTTATTCGTGGAGACATCACGCTCGGGCGCGATATATCAGGTTATTGACATGGTCGGAAAACAATAAACCGGTTTGTGCACACAACGCTCGCGACAGCAATTCGATTTGCCACCAAACCCAGTGAGTAGTGAACGGAAACATAGTGACCGCGAGCCAGAACCGTGGCCAGTAACCCCCGTTACCGTTTCGAGGAGACTCGACGATATATCTATAACTGGCCGTTGTACCCTACTGTTTGTCGAATCCAGCGTATCGTATCCCCTCGGGGAACGGTGAAGCCGCTTGTTGCGTGGGACGAATGCCTTGCGAACCTTAGGTTTAGTGACGAATCTTCTCGATTCCCTCGCTTTAAGGCGTGTTCCGTATCTCCGGCCACTGGTCTAAAAACTAAGGCATGCAAAACATGACTACCCCCCTGCCTACCCGATGATACTGCGGCGTGATTTTCATGCAACCGGCGAAGATCTATGGACACGCTGACGACGACGAGCGTCTCGACGGTTACAAGAGGCGTGGCCCTTCAGTGGAAACCCAGGTGGGACAAAGAAGCCGCTCTGTTTGTGGTTTTGCTGCTGTGGTTGTATACAGCGTGGGCTTAGCAACATTCGTACACCCGGATCGATAAACACTATGGTTGGTTCTGCTGTCGTCCTTGTTCTTGATGGAGTTGGACGTGGTGTAAAAAGTTGTTGTTTCTTTTGTACTCTTCTTGTTTTTGTTTCTACTGGTGGTGCTGGTCGGTGCTAGTGCTGTCAATTATAGCTGACGTTGCAGCCATCGTCATCGTCATCGTCTTCGCGCACTCAAACCCGTTCTGGTCTCATCCAGAACCTCCCACTAGAATAACTGTTCGTCAATGAAACATGCGATGACTTCACTTGTGCAACGACGTTGGTCCTGAGGTATTCAAACACGAAATTCTTGTTCGCTGTACCCTGGAAGGGATAGCCTTGAAATCTTCTCGAGTGTCTCGTCTCTCTACCCAACAAAACTTGGTGTGTTGCGTGAGTTAAATGTGTATGTGGAGGATTGCCACCCCCGCGGCGAAGAGGTCATGAAGATGCATGCAAAAGAAATGCTTCTCTTTCGCTAAGAAGCAACCCCCGATCAAAATTTCACGATACAAGCGGTCAAGCAGCACAGCTAACGCAGCGGACGACCTCAAACAAAACTCAATACAGTAAGTAGCCTGTACTTGACGACGGTGAAGACGAAAGGAGAAAGAGACGACAGAACGCGCCACCCCTTCAGAACATCTTGTTTTGGCCGGGGCTCGGTATTAGCTTTGTCCATGGGGTACCCCCCCCAGCGACTATATGTTTTAGTGTGACTATATAGATGTTAATGTGTAGGCTCCTTGACTGAGCACCTGTTCTTATGGCCAAGATTTTCACATGTTGGATGTGTTGAGGCTCAAGTCCTCAACTGCGGACTTCTTCAGTGGTAGCGAGACAAGAACTAAGCCCGCACCACTACCCCTGCTGTGGCGGACCATTCCAACCCATTCGAACGGCCGGTTTGTGTGTCTCTGGCATCCACACTCGACCGTAGTGGTCCGGAGACAAGCAATGGGCCGGCACCACGACCTCTGTTGGGGCGCATCATTTCAACCCGTTCGAACGGTTGCTTGTGTGTCTCTGGCATCCACACTCGACCGTAGTGGTCCGGAGACAAGCAATGGGCCGGCACCACGACCTCTGTTGGGGCGCATCATTTCAACCCGTTCGAACGGTTGCTTGTGTGTCTCTGGCATCCACACTCGACCGTAGTGGTCCGGAGACAAGCAATGGGCCGGCACCACGACCTCTGTTGGGGCGCATCATTTCAACCCGTTCGAACGGTTGCTTGTGTGTCTCTGGCATCCACCCGACGGTAGTGGTGGCGAGACAAGAAATAGGCCCGCTGTGGAGCGTCTTTCCAACTCGCTCGAACGGTCGCTTGCGTGTCTCTGGCATGTGTCCTCAGGCTGAATGTAGAGCTGGGGAGCTTCGTGTACCCAAGCCTCATGCTGGAGAAGTCCGCGTGTCTGCAGATCGATGCGCCTGCGGACAGCCTTGCCGGTAGGTTCATGTTTCTCTCTGCTGGCATCGCTGTCGGTATTGTAGTGATGGTGATGGTACAGCCTGCAGATGGAGGGCTCTACTGACGGCCTAGCCGGTAGGTTTAGGCTAATCTGCTTCGGTTGGGGGTCGTCAGTTTTAATCCATGTTGATAGCAATGGGATGCGGGTGGTATGCCCACCCGCCTTCGTTTTTCTGTCGCTGAGTAATATAGTGGTGATGGTACGGCCTGCTCGTTGAGAGCTCTACTGACGGCCTAGCCGGTATGTTGTACGCCAATTTGCTTGTGTTGGCGTCGATAGTATTGTTGTTGTGATGGTATTTGGTCGTGGTACAGTCTGCAGATCGAGGAGGGCTGGCCGGTAGACCTACTACGACAGTCGTCTTCTGTTGGCGTCGCTGTTTTGTTTTGTGGTGATGGTATTTGGTGATGATGCAGCCTGCACATCGAGAGCCCCCCTGAAGGATCTAGCGATGGTGCTAATCTGCTTCCGTTGTGGCGCTGTTGTCGTGCTCGTTTCTGCCGTTGTCGCTGGCTTCGTTTGTGCTAGGAAAACCCACAAAACCCGTAACCTATCCTGTGTCGTACGGAGCCAAAACCGATCCAGCGTTACAGTTTCTCATGCACCGCTACTCCTTCTTCACAGTCTAGCCCCGTGGAAGCCTAGCCCTCTGGAACGATTGTCGACGACCGCTGATAGAATAGCCTTCAACAGCTCTACCAGGGAGAGTGATTCAGGGAAACTCGCAATTTCGGACGGAAGAACGGTGTTGGTCGGGGTGCAATGGTGACACGCGATTTTGTGGTCGCTATTCAAGGCGCCGCTAGACCGGGCGCACTAATGTACATGTAGTATTTCGACGCCACACCTACTCTCAAAGCGTGCGCCCTTGACTGGACAGGTGGAAGTCGGAGGCGGCTGGCGGAGGCATCAGGCAGCAGCGGAAATCTCAAGCTCGGCCGGCAACAGTCGAGGAGGAAAAAGTGAGTCGTTGCTACTTTGTGGGTTATGGAGGCAATTCTACTTTTGTGGGGTACGAAGACTTTCCCCGGTTTTGAAGGGCACGAAGTTGTCGACGTAGTAGGGTACGGGGGGTTAAAGAAAGTAGGGTACGGAAGCGTTTCGACTTTTGTGGCGTTTCGATTTGTGGGGTACGGAGGCATTTCGAAGTTTTCTAGTACGGAGGTGCTTCTGCGTTGTGGGGTACGGAGGCGCGTCGAAATTATGGGGGTACTAAGGCGCGTCGAATTTTTGGGGTAAATACCCATTCGAGTATGTGTGGTGCGGAGGCGTTTCTGCTTTGTGGGGTAAGGAGGCGTTCTGACTGCGTGGGGGAAAATTAGGCAGTTCGACGTCGTGGGGTATGCAGGGGTTTCGAATTTGTGGGGCACGGAGACGTTTGGACTTTGTGGGGTACGGAGGAAGCAGCCGGAATGCAGTCCGACTTTTTGACCGACCACTCGGGGTACCTGGCCTTCCTCACGGGAGAGGGCTAAAAATAATGGTGTTGTTTTTTCGCCATCCAAGCCCGTTTGTTGCAGCCCAGCTACAACGTTTCTTGTCATTCGTTCAAGGCACCCCACTTGCTTGTGGACGACATTTTTTTCGGATGCTTTCGGATGTTTGTCTCCGTGAGCGGCTCGGCGGGTTGTCGGAATTTTGTCACAGTTGGGGGTGTAAGGCCTGACACCACCGGCGTTCGTTGGCTTCAGATGAAGAATGGCAGAGAGAAGGGGCGCTGGGTGGAGGCAGGCATCAAGATATCTCCCAAGGCTATCGTCACATCTTGCGTGTACTCTGTTGATGCTACCAAACACTGGAAGCACTTCTTCTCCGATTTCTTGTCCACATTAAAAAAAACAGGCGATACCCAACAACTTGAAGCTGCGCGGACCGTCCGAACGCTTCTAAGCGGGGGGGCGGGGGGAGGCCGACAACGCCGGGACACATCGGCAATTGGTCTTAACTCTAATAAAAAATCGCTCTTGACATCATGCGTTGCTGCAGATCGTTGGTTTCGGCCGTCGCGGGGGGAGGAGACGCCGGAGCACCTGAGGTGAAAACCCGTAACCCGAAAAGCCGAGGTGGAAGCGCATCCGATTCCAAGGTGTGAAGGGCCGGAGAAGAGCGCAGTACAAGTTTGCCACGGCATTAATTATTGTAGATTGCAGTACCTTTTTTTTTGCCCCATTATCATTGTTGTAGTACCTGTTTTTGGCGATATGCTATTCTTGCAGTACCATTTTTGGGCACCGCTACAAGAGGTCAGTCCCACCCTCACGCCGGTGCAAGTGAGCAGGCGTCCATGCCGCGAACGGACAACTTCTACGCGTAGCTTAGCCCTCGACCACAAAAGCACCGATTGCCACCCGCTATCCCGCGTGAACATCGTTACCTACGTACGGCCTGTGCACTTCCACGCTCTGACTTTAGGCAACGGCCTCCGTGAGAACGCCGCCCAATCGTCGTTTTGATTGCTGCGGCACCGCTGTTGACGTTAACAGCACGGTGTGAGCTGTGAGGCAATCGTGGTTCACAGACGGCGAGCGTGAGCTCGCGGCAACCACGCCACCGTTTTGCGTGCATCCATCGCTGGAAATTGACGGCTGACCTTTCTCCTGACATCTTCACCACTACGAATTAGCTTCAGATTTCCACCCCCGCTTCCTTCTCCCTCCCACTCCTATACGAAATCCCCGTCGTGTTTGCTGCAGGCGACCCTTCCACCGCTCACTTGGGTTCTCAGCGCGGAACCAGAGCAGACCCCCTCGGGTGAGTTGGGGGCACCGTATCTGCGCGATTCACCGCACAATAGCAAGAAACCATGAACCCTTGCACCCTACAAAAGGAACAAGGCTTTTGCGCGCATCCATGCCATTGGCGACGAGAGGATAACAGTTCACTCCCTGACGACTATTCTCCATCTCCGACCTTGATCGGAGGTACGGCGGCTGCGGTGGATATTGGTTACACAGATTCGACAGCGGCATCATACGCCGGTTTTCAGGGTTGCGCGGAAGGCCTCCAGTGGCGTCGGGTTTTCCACAGCTTCTGCAGGCGTCGCGTTGAAATGTTCCAGGGGCGGCAGTTTTCCCGAAGCCGTTGCAGGCGTTACCACATGTTTTCGCCCACGTCACGTGCGCCGCCCATGACACCTTCTTGATCTTTGCGGTCTTTCCAACTTGTTAGGGTTGGTAACCTTCCAGTTTTCTCAGCCTCTTCAACGGGACGGGGGCAACGGCGGCAGCGTCACTTTTGAAATGAACCGGGAGGACAGCAGCTGCAGCAACAGCAACCTCACGATTGACACGGCGGGTAAGAGCGGGCTGAAAGCCCGTCACGACTGGCTACGGTTAGTCGAGAGAGTGTCGCTGTCCGCATCGTTCTAGTTGTTGCGGTAACTGTTCTTTGCCCGGTACTGTTCGACTCGTGTTGGTGCCGAAGGACTGTCTACGAGAAGAAAGTAAGGGTTACGAGAGAACATTCCCGGCGGGGGCAAGCCGGCCCCACCTCTAACCCTAACCCCACCTCGGCGAATTTTGTTCTTTTTTCCGATATGTTTGCTTACATTGAATTGCATCCTTTGAAATACCTGCGTTGTTTTTTTGTGACCATGGAAGGCGTGCGCGTCAGTTGGAGCAGTACGGACATCGGAAGGTACTGAACGGAGACCTGAACAGTTTTTAATGTGAAGGCAACAACAACAACAGCAACAACAACAACAACAACAACAACAACAACAACAACAACAACAACAACAACAACAACAACAACAACAACAACAACAACAACAACAACAACAACAACAACAACAAAAACAATAACAACAACAGCAAAACTGCCGAATGCCGAAACGAGTTCTCGGCCTTCTTCTTCGGTTCTTGTTACTGCCACAAATGGACGGCCGTGTTGGATGGCAGGCTCTGCACCGCATGTCACCGCTCTTGTTTCGAATTCATTCGGATCGAAGCCTTTTCGTCAAGCTACGATCGTTTCTTACGTTGTGCCTTCCCCGTCGACCGTGATGACTCCAAGCATGAGAAACCACACCACCCAAACATTAAGTTGGTGGTCCGCGCGTTCTGCAATGAGGGCAACCTCCAGGCAACGACATGGAAGAAGGCATGCGACGTAGCGGGGGCGGGGGCCGGGGGTAGCTCCCTCACTACCCGCTTGTTGTACGTCCACCTTGAGGCAACCCCAGTTGCGAATTTATGGCACAGATCGCAGAACGTCTCTCTATCCTTGCTCTCATGTGCTTGTTGCAACTCACTCTGCAGGTGGCAACAGGGAAGGGGGCGTTTTGCCGAGTTGGCCTGGAGGGGATGACCAGACCAGCCTTTGTTCCTCCAAGTTCTCCAACCGTTCGTTCGAAGACTGCCTGAGAGCGGGAGAGGGGAAGCTGCGGGACGAGATACATCGCCTTCACAAGGAGATCCAGCAGATATCGGTGAGACTGGCATATGCGTTATTCTTCCAAAAACCGCGTGTTTGAATATGTGCATGTATATGAAACGCGCCGCCACTATAGAACCTCATATTTGGTGCATCTCTCGCTGATTGGTTGGCCAGAAGCCAACAGGGAATGAATGAATATTGTCAGCAGGATTCAGTGCGGGTTCTTACCATGGATTGGGACTGGGGAAAGAAGGGGGAAACAAGCGGGAGGGTCAACCGATCCGTTGCCAGCTAGATTGCCTAATGCTATTCCAGATGAGAACCTCAACTTGAGGGCACAGCTCAGCGTCATGCGACGTCAGCGCTTCAACGAGAAACGGCATCCTCAGAGAGTTTCGCCACCAAGAATTTTCGAAGAAAATGCGGATGATACGTTCAGCCCAAGCGAAAAGAGCCGAAGTGCTTAGAAACAACTCTCTCTGCGAAGAGACCACCCAGAACGCTCTACACAACCTGTGCTCGGCATTGATGAGAATACACGAAGCTCAGCGTCGACCCGGTTTTGATACTCCTTTCTCCGGGCCCATTCTTCATGCACGTCTGCGGCGAGACCTCCTGCTACGGCACGGGAGCCACCGATACTTCATTCTGTCAACGTTATTTTTACCCCTGTCGTTCCCTGGGTTTTATCCCATACTTCCACTGTACTTCGTCATATGCCTTGCCGTTACACTATTTTTTTATGCGTGGTGCTCTGTGTACGTTGGTGTGTACCGTTGTCGTTCTATATGTTAGGTAGGTACTCAGCACTAGAAATGGATTTGCGGAGATCTAGGGAGTTTTCGTGTGTGTGTTACTGGAAAGGCGGACCCCGTTCTAGTGTGCAGGGCTTGCTTGCTCTGCTGTCCACTCGCTAATGTCAAGGTTGTGAGTCATCCTTCCTCCACAGCCTCTGACGGAAAACACCCCCTACCCAACACGATACTATACTTGTTGGCAAAGGGGAACGACGCTAAGGACATGAAGGGAGGCGGGGTACTCGCGGCCCAGACCCGACAGATGATGATAAACGACAAGACGAGGGCGGCGGTGGCTCTCATGTCTACGAAGAGCCGGGCCTCGGCAGTGCAGGTGTGTCGCGTAGCGTGCTGATTAATGGTACCCATTTCTTTTGAATAGCTCTCTGCCTCTGATTCGTTGTTGTTGTTGTTGTTGTTGTTGTTGTCGTTGTCGTTGTCGTTGTCGTTGTCGTTGTCGATGCTGGTGGTTTGTTGTCGTTGTTGTTAGGGTCGTTGATGTTGATGTTGTTGTCGTCCGTGGTGGTGATGTTGGCGGTACATAATATTATGGTAGCTGGTGGTAGCGGTGAGTGGGTGGTGGTGGTGGTGATGATAATATTTGATGTATGCTGGTCACGATTGTTGGACTCCATGCCAATTCGGTAGATCGCCATGATTGATGAAACTGGTCTGCCGTGGCCGCCTCAACATCGTTTCCTGTGGCCGCTCTTTCTCGCTTTCCTAAGACTGTCATCACCATCTCCGCCTCCACCACAACCACCACTACAAACAACATCAACAACAACAAAAATAACAGCAGCGGGCAACCCTCCCTGTAACCTTGATTTCTTGTCAAACCGATCGCAGTACGACAAGCTCGTGAACCGGCCAGGCAAGGGTTGGGCGAGAGCAAACCGCATCGTCTCCAAGATGAAGAAGTCTGACCTCGACGATATCAAGAAGAAGGACAAGATGGAGGTGCGAAACAATTCATAACGAACAGGCGCGGTAGACTTGACGCACACCGTGAGAATAACATTGCGTCCCCAAGCCTGAAAAAAAAAAAAAAGTCCTACCCTTAGGCACACATCAAAGTATATTACGGAAGCTTCGGAAGGTCAGACTTACGTCTGTTCCCGTGATGTTAATCCGAGGATCAATGCACACGATGTGAGCATGGTCGACAGGCCCGGCCGATCGTAAGGACGCAGTCGAGCGGACGAAGACACCACCCGACGGCCCTACTGTTCCAATATTTGACTATACCTTTCTGTAGGGTAAGTTAGCCTGTGACCGCGGGAACCGACCGCGTCAATACGGAGAGAGGGAGGTTCTGGGTAGGGAGACGGGAACGGCTTTTACCGTGAAGACAACAACGCCATCCATTGCTTTTCTGTAAAAGCTGCCTCGGACCCACTTTTCCCCTTCTTCATGGCTATACGTCCCTGGTTCACGGATGTCGCTGTCTTCCGCTGCTGTATTCGGAACCCAACCTCTGATGGTCCCGACCCTGATCGACGGGTATGGGGCGAAAGATGCGAGAGGAGCTGAAGCGACTGGAGAAGGAAAGGCAAGAAAATTCCACGAAATTGCGTCGCCATCTGTTGGCTAGCACATCATCTGGTAAACCAAAATTGGCCATGATAGAAAAGTAAAACTACTTAAAGAGGCAAACTTCTGTAATACGACTCTCTACTTTTTCATCTGAAGACAGCAACAACAACCAACTGCTACCACTATGCCAACAATCAAATATGCCAACACTTAATAAAACGGGCCGATGATGCCATTTCGACTGTAATTGCTTTTCGTGCATCCCGTTTCCGTTCAGCTACGGTGCCTTCTACTGTCAGCGGCCACTAATAGGTCGAGAGAGAAAGTGGCCACAACAGTATTAGCCACCAGCACCCACCCATGCCGTTTGGATATCTCTTCGTTTCAAACCTCGTGGCTTGTTGAACGGGCAGCATGCGAAGGACAGGGCGTTCGCGATGGATCCCTAGGAGAGGAAAAGCAAGGCTAGCATATTTCTCACGTGCAGTGTTTTTCTTCATCCATCACATCCAAGAATGAATCCGATCTTTCCACCACCGAACAATCAATGCTCGTGGCAGAATGGTTATGAACACGAACCAGTCGTTAAACGTTGCGCATATCGGCAATGGTTTTCCTCATCCATCACCGCCAAGAATCTGATATTCCACCATCAGACAAAGCTCGTGGCACAGAGGAAAAATTCGAACCAATCTTCAAGTTTTTCTATCGGAAACTGCTGTCTATGACCCATCCATGAATCAGATCTTCCACCGCCAGATAATGCTCGTGGCAGAATGTTTCAAGACGAACCAAACGTTGAGAACGGCAGCATGTCATCATCCCTGATTATGTTTGTTTCTCCGCGTTCGTTCCCAGGCACGAGGAGGAAGATAGGCGGATCGCCAAGGAGTTCCAGGAGATGCAGCAGAAGGCCAAGATGGCCAACGGCAGGCTCAGACTCAAGCAGATGGTTTCCGTCGAGGAAAAGGCAAGCTCGCGAGACGTGCGGATAGAGTATATGGTGCGGACGAAAGATCTTGGCAAGGTTTGGCAGCAAGGGAGAAACAGGCGCAAAAACCGGAGAGGTGTTCGAAATTGAGTAGTTTTTTCCCCACAACTTTTCAAGACGTCCGCCAAATCACGTACGATCTACTGTAGAGAGGAACTGTTCGTTTATCAACACAATATCGACGGATCGGTTTTCAGCACGATATCCAGGGTGTTCCAGATGCGTTTAAGGAAGAATACTCATTTTGCACAGTTTCAGCGGCGGACAGGCCGATCGCCAGAAATCGGCACAAGCATCGGTACCGACGTCGCTGTCCATGTGCGCGTCATTGCTGAGAACTCTAGAGCAGTCCGCCCTTGACGTGCGACGTTCCTCGGCCTCAACGTGCGGCGTTCCTCGGCCTCAACGTGCGGCGTTCCTCGGCCTCAACGTGCGGCGTTCCGCCGCCTCGACGTGCGACGTCCCTCCGCCTTAACGTACGACGTTCCTCCCCCTTAACGCTCGACGTTCCTCCGCCTTAACGTTTCTCAATGTGCGACACGTCCTTGTATTCCTCGACGAACCAGCTCCTCGCGAAGGAATCATACTTCTCGCAGTTCCAGCAAACGGCGAGGACGAGGCAAGGGGGATACTTTTCCGGCAGCGGTGGCGTCGCCGGTACGGAGGGAGGAAGAGGAGCACTATGTGAGTTCACGGACAAGCGACAATAGAACAGAGTTGATGCTGCGCTAGGACGTCACGCTGTTAAATAGAACGATGACCACCAGACTACTAGTCAGCGCTGACTTGTAGTCTAGTGGTGATCGTGCTTCTCAAACAAAGTACATAGCCGAGTCCATCAAGCCTTCTTTCAGGCCACGAACACGTCCCCCCAGGGTTTGCCATCCCTGTGATCAGCGCTGTCTTGTCCGCTCGGGGATAATCTTACGCACTTGGGTAGGGAGACACTGCACGCCAACCTGTTGGCCGTCTCCTATCTCGTCGTAAGACCACCGAAGCAGGGCTAAACGTTTGTCCCAAGAATTCGCCCAAAACGTACACCCCCTTAGCACCACTGGGTCCACCAGAACTACAATATAATACTGGTATGCATCAGGTTCACACCAAACGAAGATCATCAAGGCCGTACCAGAGCTAGTGATCGATGTGAACCTCGGCTGCTCCGAGTCGGGCATCTCGATGCAGGCGATGGACTCCACCCGCGTAGCTCTCTCTGTGCTCTCTAGCATTCTGTACCGGCGGGTTCGAGCGCGCACCCGGAGCCTCCCGCTTGGCCTTTCGACGGGCAGCATCTCCATATTCTCAAGCGCACGGAACTATCTTGGCTTCATTTTTTGCGCCTCTTTCGACATGTCTTCTTGTGGAACGCCTACAGAATCCAAAGGGCCGCAACAGCCCCACCCGAGCGTTCCCGTCACTCCGCACACATCACCACCATTTCTTTCTCGTTTTTTCCCGCTGTTTCTTGGCGAGCTGCGCCGTCTTTTTCCGTAGGTGCTGCGCCGTTGATGCGTGTTTCCTTCCTGTCACCGGCAGTGACCTCAGGCTAGATTTCGACCATGAGAATCGACAGCATGCGATGTCGACGACGACGATCAATATATGAGATCCCAACAATGACGACGACGATAACAACAACAACATCAACCAACCAACAAACAAACAGATCTACAGCATGTATGCACGATATATACAAATAGCACTTCAGTCAATCTCATCAACGACCTACCCCGTCTTATTCACTAGCCCTTGTGCTGTTTCTTTTTCGTTTTTCCCTCGTGAAACCCACCGTTGTTGCGGTGGAACAGCCATGATGGCGGACGGATTCGGCGGCGGAAGCCCTTTCAACACGGCGAGAACAGGGTTGCGTCAGTCGACGTCGCCGCCCAGCAGCCGCGGCTCGATCTCGTCCCCAGGCAGACCTGGCTCAGCGGGGGTGCATCAGGTACGCTGGTCACCAGAGGTGTAGGCGTACACAACTTGCTAAGGGTTGGGTGGGGAGGTTGGGAGGCCGGGGTGAGCCTTCAACGCACTTCTTGTGTAGCTGGCCTCCCGCCGTGCCAGTTGGAATAACGCCTCTTCTCCGAGATGCGGGAATACGCCGAGGTGCAACCTGTCCCCCCCAGGTTGTGGTCAGTGCCCAACCTACCCACAACCTGACCGCTGGCCGCCGGTGTAGGACGTGGCAGTTATTGGAACCACGTGTCGCAGCCTAAGAGGGACGCGAGGGGAGACTTTGGAGAGTTGTAAAGGAAGAGTTTATCGCGTGAGCTAACAAACCAGAGGAAAGCCTCAAGCCGGGCCTGATTCGGTGTGCTTCCGCTTGCTACCTTGCCAAGGGAGCGCAAAGATTGCCCCAATGGCCTGGTGATGGCAGCTCTTCACCTCGAGGCTAGTCCGTCCAGTCGCATTCTGCCACCATTCCCCAGCATCAAGCAGAAACAAGTTTAGAGCGGCTGACTTACCCCCTGTTGACATACATATCTACATGGGCGCGACAATTGCTTTCCAAAGCCGGTGGTGTTCTTGCATTTCGTCCGCATGCGTGGCGGGCTTCAGAGGTTGTTTTAACCCTGACGTATATATCTTGATCGATCAACTACAGGACACGCCTTTAAGAACCTCTTGTTTCGGCCGAGACTTGTTTCTTGTTTTTTCTATGGGGTAGACTACTTTATCCCCACGTCCACTATATAGGTTTAGTATAGGATTCTTGACCGAGAAACCTGGTTCTACTGGCCAAGTTACAATTGTGAGGCCCACGTTCGTAACTGCTAACGTTCTGAAGTGGCGGCGCGTTCTGCATTCCAGGCTCCCGATGGCTCGAAAAGACAAGCTATGGCCCGCGACGTGTTCATCGTGGCCTGCCTTGAGCTGGGCCTGCATCCCGACCTCTCCCGGGTGCAGTGGAACCTCGGGGGGATCGACCTCTCCAACTTCGGCCTTGGGGACCAGCTAGCCGGCGCCCTCGCCGCAAGGTGTTTAGCACATTTCAGGAATTTGCGGGGGGGGTGGATAGAGTCATTTGCTCTGTAGTCTATCTACCCCGTCCTAGGGTCCAAGGATGAGGCAAACGGTTCAGGTCGTGCGTGCGGGACACAGGCAAGAGAAGATGCCACCGGGGATCCTGGGGTAATCGTACACCGTTTGGCTCGGAGATCGACGAGAGGGACGTCAAAAATTAGGAAGTGGAATGAATTTTAGGATCGATCGACTTTGTGGTGGCCAGCTGAACCGCCCTTATCCTTAAGCAACAGCAGCAGCAACAGAAGCAGTAGCGGCATGAGCTACCGTTGTTCAATCACGCCAAGCCGGGCGTACCCCTCCCCGTTGGTAGGCGATCACACCCGTCCACGGTGCTACCAAGAGAGAACAACACTACACCTGCCAAGCAGTTGCGGACACCCTTTGACGCCCTTGTCAGGCCACCCTATCAGCCATGCAGGCCTTTGAGTACCGCTCAGACGTCAAAGATTGGTGGTCTAGGAGCGCGGCTAACACCAAAGCAAGAATATGTTCTCATACCAAACACCCGTCGCGTCCTTGTTTTTTTCCGTGCCCAGCATGAAGCACAGTCCTCCTGAGAGCCTGGTGCTGCGCGACAACCGCATGACGGATGTGCCGCTTGGCGTCGTCATCTCGGCTCTCGACGTCGACTCCCTCATGAAGCTCGATCTCTCCGAAAACAAGTGAGCGAGGCTGTGGCTGCCGTCCTCACCATTGCTGTTCTGGAGAGATGAACAATGAGCGGCGAACTGCTGTAGCAGATTGATAACGTGAAGCGACACATTAGTCTCGACGTGGCGGATGGGGGAGATATAGTCTCGACGTGGCGGATGGGGGACATGAACATGGCGGATGTGGAATATAAACACGATGGTAAGGAATACTGTCTAGACAATGATACGGACTGCACGCAGACAAATTGAAACTGGGAATGGAACGCAACCAGATCGGCCACGAACAAATAAACCTATTGGTGGCTGGCGAGGAAAATTCTCGCAATGAACAACAACCAACCCGAAGATTTTTAACCAAGATGAGCGTACTGGAATCCCTGGAGAATCGGTGGCAGAAAACGCGACTGTATACCACCCGTGTTATGGATTTGGTCATCCCGGTTGGTGATATATACACCAATAGGCCCAACACATTTTGGCCTCCTCGGGCAAGCACTGGAAACGGAGGGACGAACGAACGGACGAACTCGTGAGCAACCGTGAAAGGTTGTTCCGGGAGAGAAAACAAAGGCGTAGCGTACCGTTTCGGACCCTCTTGGACCCAGACTGCGCTTTTCCTCAAAGAACGCGGGGAAAGTTCCCGACCTAACCCAATAAGCCTGCCCCTCGTGTACGCATATAAATCTCGATTGATTACGTCCAACCGTCTTGTGGAACTTCGCTGTTGCCCCGTTCCCGCCCCCCGCGTTGTTGAACCAGGGTTGGGCCGAAGGCGATGAAAACGCTGTGCTCGTTTCTCGAAGATGGCTCATGCTTGGAGGTAAGAGAGCGCGGAACGCCGTACACCAGCGTGACAATCACACGTGGGGTTTAATGGCCGTTCTGAATACGGCTGGCGAAGGCAAAAACACATTCCGAAACACACAACCGAGATGGTTACCTTGGTCGGCCTGTGGCCCACAGGAGAGATGTCACGGGTGCATGCTGCTCGGCGGAACCGTAGACATACAAGTTGGTCAACACACAAACACAATTGATTCATCGCTACGCTCTGCGGACTCTTATCCGTGGAAGAGTTGAATTTTTTGTGATTGAATTTTGTTGTTATTGCCATTGTACGAATCGTCAACATGCAAAGGAGCACGCATAGATTCTTAGGTCACGTTCCCCATTTTTCCGGATCGCTCCTGGGATCGGTCTTCGGATACGTTCTCGGATCGTTTCCCAAGACTCTGGTGCTGACGGCGACTCACCTCGGTGATGCGGAGATCGCTCCGTTGTGCGAGACGCTCATGGACAATGATATGCTGCTCTCGCTAAACTTGAGGTGCGTTCGCGTGACAACGTGCGTTTTGCTGATGTCTGTTTTTGATGTCGTTGCTGCTGCTGCTGCCGCTCGTAGTAAATACAGTCGGCGGCCTGGTTTAGCGACCCCCAATGTAGCTGCATGCTCTGTTTAGCGACCCAAAATCACGCTGCACCGCCGCACCCCGGTAGTATAGCTGCTACATAATTTATTGGTACGTAGTTCGGTTAGCGACCTGCCCTGAAAAGCGGCCACATGTCGTCGTGACACTAGGGGGCGCTCACCGTAGTACATATCGATGGTAGAATCGGTAAGAGCAATCCGCGAGTGTACCGGGTATGGCGGGCGTTCTGGACACGCACAACACACCGACAATCTTTCATTGTAATCCACGAAATCTACCTCATTGAAAAAGTCGCTCCTGTGGACTGTTGCCGATCCATATCTACCAGTACTACTGTGATATTCAGTAATTTAGACCTTCGCCTTTCGAGAAAAAAGCTGTCGTGCTTTTTTTTTCTCCTTGCGCTCTACATGTAGACCTCCACGCATTACCATCCCAAAACCTAGTGCTCGAGGAAGAAAGAAGGCTTCCGTCGTCGAAAGCAACCCCAATTTATAAGGGGCGGGGGAAGCATGCTGCATGTCTTCCATATGTACTCCCCAAACCCAAAAACAATTAATTAGATCAAACACCCCCATATAATATGCTTACAGTACTTTACAGTTAGGTACACCAGAAAACTATTGCGACACATGCCAAGACCCGCGGATATAAACACTGGAAGTACAGCCCCCTGTTGTTTGTTCTTTACTCATCATCTTCTACACCAACCACGATACTGGTGATCACGTTTTTCAAAGACCGACCCAACAGCGTCTGCCCGGCCGTTTCTCCTGCGATTTTTTTTCAATTCTTTCCAGTCGCAACAAGCTCCGTTCCGCCGGGGCGTCGAGCCTGGCAAGCATGCTGTCTTCCTCGGGCTGCGGGCTGCACGAGCTCGACATTTCCTGGAACTGCTGCTCGGGGAAGGGGACCGTCGAGCTAGGGGAAGCTCTGAAGCGCCAAGTACGTACGGCCGGCGAATAAAATTGGGGTCGAGGCTCAATTTCTTTTTCGTCGCCACCGTCGAGCATAGGACATTTTATAAAGAAAAGTGTAGGATGGACGCCTGAGGTGTGCTGCTCACAAGTCGATTTTTTGTATTGTTTTCGCGGAATGTCCAGCGTCGTTTATCTACGGCGCTTTGTTTCCATCGTCCGACGCACGAGAAGACCCATGGACGAACTTGCTCAGCAGTCCCTGCGGCAACATAGTGACTTCATTCCCGAACATACTCTTGCCTTACGAGATGTGTTTGCTGCAAACCAAAGCGATCGATATGGCAGGTGTTACATGCACGAAAATATCAAACAGATGTTCTGATGATGGTTCTTATCCTGCACAAACCCAACCACGTGTACTTGACAAATGTACGGCTGTTCGAGATCCCTTTTATCTCGGTAATGCGTACAAGTGGACCACAACAACGACACGAAATCGGATGACGACAAGGAAGGTCAAAACCATTCTTCAAACTTGACCAAGGCTAGAACAGACGACACTGAGGAAGCTCGCGCTCGTGTAGGAATGAACGGCAGTTTGTTTTCCTTTCCCCGCCACGGACAATGTAGTGGACCACCCCAAGATCAGAACGATTGTTCACCGTTTGCACAGAGGACACTGAGGAAGCTCGAGCTAGCGTTCAACAGCTTCTCCGAGGACAGCACCATTGCTCTCGCCAGCGCCCTTCTCGACAACCGGCAGGTGTGACAGGGAGTTGGTTGTGTCGCGCCGAAGTTACTTTCTCGAATGCTACACCTGTAGAATGGTGAAAAGTCCAAGTAGCAGGGTCGAACGTCAACGGTAACACGATCGACAGCAGCAGCAGTAGCGGGTGAAACACCACAAAGAAACACAGAAAAAGATGGCGATAGCTGCGGCGACAACCGAACCGTCCAGCGCAGCCACGTATGGGAGTCGCCTCTCTTTTGCCCAGCAAATCGCCTCCACGCTGCGTCAATGATCGATTCGAAGCTTCACAACACCTATTGCCAATAGTCTGTAAGAAGCATTGACGGCAGTCTTGGTCTTAATGTGCACTTCCAACCAGAGAAGTACTGGCCTCTAATATTAAACCGTAGCATCCACCCGTAGGCCGTTACGAAACAGCCAAAAACGACCAACCCCCAAACAATTGCCTTCGGGAGCTGCTGAAGCAATTGCCGTACGTTTCGATCAATACGATTGTTTCCCTGAATACCCGTCGTGGGTTGGCTTTTGGCACCTTCCCGACATCCGATGAGCCGGTCGAAGGGAAAAATCTCGCTCCCAAGCATGGTACATCTCCACCTTGTTTTTTCGAAAATCTGACTGTCCATCTGCCTGCCTATCTGCCTGCCTGCCTGCCTGCGTGCCTGCCTGCCTGCCTGCCTGCCTGCCTGCCTGCCTGCCTGCCTGCCTGCCTGCCTGCCTGCCTGCCTGCCTGCCTGCCTGCCTGCCTGCCTGCCTGCCTGCCTGCCTGCCTGCCTGCCTGCCTGCCTGCCTGCCTGCCTGCCTGCCTGCCTACCTGCCTGCCTACCTGCCTACCGTTGTGTCCACCTGTTGCTCTTGCACGACCGCATGCGTCAATCTTGTATGCCCCTGCATGATTGGCGAGAGAAGCTCGCGTCGCTCGACTTGTCTTGGAACCGCATTGGCGGGCGGCCCAGCCTCGCCCTGTCGCGCATGCTCTGCCTCAACACCACGCTGAGGAAGCTCAACCTCAACGGAAACCCCCTCACGGAAACGGGCGGTCGGTCCATCGTAAGGTACAGTTGGGGAGGTCCCCGAGTAAGGCGGTGGTGGGGGCAGCTGGTTAACGACCGCCTTGTGTGGGGCAGCCGCTTTGTTCCATGTGTAGAACAACTTGATTTATTCCGTCTATGCCAGCCAATTCCACCCGTCTTATGTAGACTACCCGCCGCGTTATTCCGGGACCCCCAGTGTGAAATGAAGTTTTCGCATCCCAAGCCGCCCGAAAGAAGCTCCACCCGCGCTCTGAAGGCGTGTCCGTGTTTCCGTACTGCCACACGTCGAAGTTCTCAGGGTCCGGTAGCGCTTCGTCGCGGGAATCGTGGCGTGGTGGCAATGCCTCCGTCCATGCCTAGCCCACACGGAATAGTGCCGCCTAGGGCGAATCCGGCTTGAAATGCCGTGAAACACCGTTGGCTTGTTTGTGTTTTCCCTCTTTTTTTTCTCTTTTTTTTTGTCTTCACTTCAAATCAGCGTTCACAGCACCAGTGCCGTTTACTCGAACCCGTGGTCACACAGAAGAGCCCCTCTCTACCCTCCTCTCCTGCGGTACTTTGCCTTCGATTTTTAATGCGAGAAGAGTTCAGCACTCTCTTCCCTCTGTGTACACACGAACTAGCGCTATCCACTAGGTCAGAAGCGGAAGCGAGAGAAACACTCACTTTGCAAGAAAAGCTCGCTCACGCCGGGATTCGAAACCCTGACCTGACCTCTAGAAGGTTTCGAGGAAACCAAGTAGACCACCGGGACGACCGGCTCTTTTATGGAACTCTGTGGATTACCCTAGCCCTAACCCTGACCCTAACCCTAACCCTAACCCTAGCCCTGACCCTGACCCTAACCCTAATGGGAATGCTGGCCACCTCGTAAAGGCCCACTATTGTGAGCACCCCTTGGATGTTGACAAACCTTGCTGTTCTTCATTGTAGCATTTCTATACCAATACTTCGAAGTTGCTATTGTCTCTCGTTGCGGGTTATCAGTATAGCATTTTTATTCCACATAAAATTCGATTTTTACACTCTCTACGGTTTATCACTATACGTATTCTGCATATGGGTTTTGACGTTCATTGCGGGTTACCATTGGCTATTCTATACCATATAGGTGTTTCGTGTAGGGAAGGAGAGTGGACATCACTGCCAAGAGAGCTCTATCGGTGACTTTGAAGAGATATGAACCCAGAACAATGTTGCCGATACTGCCGAAGGAGCATAAGCACGTAGAGCAGTCCGACCTGGAGGCCAACGCAACAGAAGTATCGTTGCGGATGTTTCTTCTTGTTTTCGTCCCATACTCTCTGGGCGCCAGTCTACAGCTCTCGGAACACGTTCGATTGCACCCGCCGGGGTTACACATGAGGAAATAATGCGAAACACTGGATATCTTTTTCGGTTTTGTTTTTCCTTCCTCCCTTTCCTCCAGGTCAACGTCAGAAGGTTGAGCAGTTCATTCCATCTCGTTGCGATCACTCACACTCAGACCTACCGTAAGAGGCGGAGAGATCGCACACCCCCTAGAGCGATTTTCAAAGCTAGATCTTCTCCACACAACCTAGATTGTGTCAACACCGAAAATAGTGGTTTTGGAAACATGTCGCCGAGGGCTTTCCGTAGACGTGTATCGGGCTCCTTCCGCACCCCCTTTTGTTGGGGAACAATCGAGCTCTGACAGTCGGCCTAAGGGGGGTGCCATCTCTCCCCCCCTTACGGCATGCGCTCTCCACCTTCTCATTGATGGTGCTCGTCAACAGCTCTTGGTCCCGCCCTGCCCCCCCTTCGTGCTTGGTGATGTGCGAGCATGGTCCGGTGAGAGCCCGGCGTGCTTCCTCCCGGTTTTTTGTAGGATGCAAGATCAATGGCCTAACGACTGCAGCATGCACGGCTATGCGTACCCGCCCATATCTTGACCGTCTCTCTCTGAAAAACGAAATAGAGCTCTTCTCGGAGGATCCGGATGCGATGTCAGCATGCGTGGTTGCTCTTTCGCGGTGAGACATTCCCCCCCGTTTTGTACGCCGCTGTACGGCCTTCGATGTGCGTGCTTTCTGACTCTTCCCGCAGCAGCATTATGTTACTTTGCGCAAGGGTCCTGGTGCAGAAATCGACCCGTCCTGCGCTAACGTTGAACGTTCCTCGAAACACCATCAAGTCTTGTTGATAACTACTAAAGTATGTCTGTGTCCGGTATTCTACCCTGACTGATGGTCGTCCTCCCAACGGTATTTCATGGTGCTTGCACAAATTCCGTCCTCTGAACCATGCGTTCTGGGATGTTTTGTCCTTTTGGGGTGGGTTCATTGTATCTCAAGCTATCTTTCCAGAACAAAGGTGTAGCCGTATGGTTGTCATTCGCCGGATTCGCCTTCAACCTCCAGCTATTTCTTTCGCGCTCCTTCTCATGTGACCGAGACCCGAAATACGGCTCCATGCGTGTACTGCTTTGTTTCAACTGTTCGTCCTTCTCTTCGTTGTTGTGGGAGTCAGGAGGACACCGACATCTTGTTCGATCGGAACTACCCGCCGCCTCTGATTTCACTGGAGTTGGATCTCAAGAACGCCTTTCAGGTGATGAGACTTTAACAACGTGTTGGGTTTCACACTTACGTGACTGTGCACTTCCGATTGCTTTGTCGACAGAAAGATCGTGAACACACATGGATGGCTCCTTGTTGTCGCTGTACCACCCTTGCTGCCATGATTAGTGTGTGTGTGTGTTCCTTCGTGATTTGTGCACAAATGAAATGCTTTCGGAGCATTTGTCTATCAAGAGCCGCTGCTCGAGGAGGAAGCAGAAAACAAACATAGGTTAATTCTGTTGGTTCTGTAACGCTGTGGTATCAAGCACACCAGTTACAGGTTTATGAGAACGCACTGATTCTGTAAACTATGGTGGTAAACCGCAAAACACCCTCGTTTTCTCCCCTGAAAACTTAGCCAGAGGGAAGTACTACGATCCTGGTGCACTACAATCCGTTTCAATGGTGCCTCGAGCTTAATAGCGCCATCGTCCCTGCCTGAGACACCCTCTGCAACAGTGCTATAAGATTCTTGGTATCTCTAGCTTCGATTCCGATACCAGCAGCACATTGACGGTATCAGAACTGCCGAAATGCGGCCGAACATGCCCCCATCTTCGCTGCCATGGCTTCCAGTTCGTATCCTGCGTGACGCGCCCCCCCGGTGACGTCATTCATATCTCGAGTTTTCCTCTCGCAGGGATAAGGCGAGTAAACCGTTTCCTTGTGCGACATCTCTGAAGCCCTCGTGCGCGGATTCACTCCTTCCTACTCCGACCGTAGAGATCGAGTGAACATTGCAACCAGGCCCGGGAATATGGCACAACATGCACACCACCCGGAGGTTTCAACATCAACACTCAATACCTTACGTTATTTCTCATGGAATCGCCTCTGCCGTACTAAACTTTGAGGAATACTCCGCTGCCTGCCTAGCTCAAACATGGCTCCACACTACGTAGACCGATACCCTTTTCCCCGCAAAACAACAACATCCGAAACACTCACTCACGACGCGTCCGTAGCAATCCTAATCCTATCCATCCCAACACGTCACCAGTGCTGTGTACTGCACGAGTTGATCTGGCTAGCGCAAGCGAAGCCGGGCTCGAAGTTCGTCGAGGTCTACCGCCACTCGGGAGGCGGGAGGGGCCGCATTCCGGTGGCGTTGCAGGTATGATCACATTCATTCCCCAAGGGATTGCCAATGGTAGTGCCATCGGCTATTGTTTCCAATGGCGACACCTGCCTTCTATGATTGGCAGCGTGAAATTTCACTGAGACCTTAGTTCACACCTGTGGCTGGGATCAACTTCGATGGAGAGCCTATACATACTGTGGTGGGCTTGTCCCAGTGCGTGGAACAAGCAAGGGCACCCAGTGCGTGGAACAAGCAAAGCATCGCTGGTGTTCGTTTCATTAAGTGCCCGCGAAAACACGAAGGGTGCTGAGATCAGTCATTATTCGCGAGGTTGTGCTGGAGCTCTGAAAGGTTCACCGAAAGCCAGGGCGGACAACAACGCCAGAACAACAAACCTGCACCCACCTCAACCATTTTTGGTGCTGCCAAATTTCGGTGTTTGGCAATGTCGGACAAAGCACGTACGGGATGGAGGTCACATCAGGACGACATCGATAGCAAGCAGAACACCAACAACGATATCACAATCATCCATCATCACGTCCGTCCCCTAGCCCTATGTACAGCTCTATGGTGTATAGCAACAACAATGCTTTGACTTTACTCAATATTTGTGCCCCTAGCAACAATATCAACACTACAAATGTCCGAATATCAAGGTTGTGGAAGAGGCAAAAGGCATAAAGAGGGCCAGCGTGGTTGATACTGCTACTGGGAAGCCCTGGATCCCACCGGATTCCGGCTGGCTCAGCGTCAAGTTTAAGGTTTCCAGAGAGCTACCCAGCATCAAGGTAAAGAAAAGACCTGTACGAACAGTGCGCTTGGTACACGATTGGTTCGAGCAGGTTTTGGCCCAGCTTGGATGCCAGGATTTTCACTATTTTTCCGAGTGCTTTGCGATGTTTGTTGGAGAGTAAGACTCGGACAACGATTTTATCGAGCGTGACCATGCGCGTAGACTAACCGAAAATGCTAAAGTTTGTCGAATTCTCAGTCCAAAATTGAGGACTAGCAGAAGCAAGAGATCCCATGCCGGCTGAGCGTATGCTCCGGAATTCCGCCCTGACTGAACGAGAATCCGGAGGACTAGCAGAAAAAATAGATCCATAAGTAGTTGGGTTCGCTCTCGAATATTGAGTCCCGCCCGAATGATCGATTGCAACATCAGATGTTGGTTAGACTGTGCTCCAAAATCGCGCCCAGACAGACCGGAAATTTCAAAGGCTGGTTGAATCCTCAACCCGACATTGAGAATTATTCAAGCTGAAAGAAAAATACCACCCCAACGCTGGTTGATAATTCGCTCTTCACTAATGCGTCCCCAAAACTGAAAATTGAAATACCTAAAAGGCAGTACACATCCAACCTAAGAATTGCGTCCTAAATATGAACTTTTTTCACTGCGTTCCAAACGATTAACAAACTCGAAGGACGTGCTTAACCCTGAGGCTGCGTGGACGGCGATGATGCTCATCATGGGCCAAGAATCTGACTCGGACCGCATGAACATCCTGAGGCTGGTGCTGAGAGACACGTACGTTACGACGGAGTCGGGGCAGAAGCTCATTGACCAGCTCTCGCACATGGGCATCTACCCGAGAGACGTCGTGGAGATGTGAGAGCGACCGCAATGGAATTGTAAAGAAATACCATGGAAGTGGCGTCTACGGTTAAAGAGAGGGTCGGGACAAGCCTATTTATCTCTTAGTTCCGGTTTCCTCTTAAACCGAACTGTGAAATGATGTATTTCTCAAGGTCGCGCCAAGCCAGTTTGACTCCCATAAATCGGTAGCCGCGACTGTATTCGATTTCCAATCAGTATTTCGAGGGTAGTGTGCCGAGATGTGTTGCAGAGGAAGGTGGGCGGCTGCCATCCCGAACGTATCGTCCAAAACGAGCAGCAGATGGAACGATTGCAGTGCACGGGCACATACCCTTTTGTGCATGATTGACATGGAATCAGGCAATATCGTACCCTCTATAACTCGAACGGATAGACCATTTTCACCGCAGTCTTCGAACACCCCATGGAGACGAAAAACTTGAAAAAATCTGAAAAAAGCAATAAATAAACAGCTCACAATTCTTCCCCGGGTAGAGGAGCGGCAATCACCCAACAGACGTCGAGGACGGAAGTCGGCAGCTTCGTGTGTAGGGAGAGGTCCTGTAAGATCGTCGCCAACACTGCGTGTGTATGGGGGACTTTGTGTGCTTCCGCACATCCGTCAGGAACTACTGGATGAGGGCACGTTAGCACACCGATACGGAGGCAAAGAAGCGGTTGACTCGAAAGCATGCCTTGGCCATGAAGTTGGAAACACAGTTGGAACCGAGACGGTCGAGCCAACCAGCAGGCGTATTCATCTGATACTGGTAGCTTTCCTCCTGTGAAGTGTTGCAGCTTTCTGTCTACCACGCACGGAGCTCCCTGGGATCTCAAAACCTTTCCACGCCCATTCTGTTTTCTCGCCAAAAAATCGAAAAACACTTCGTTTGAAGGGTCTGGACTCGTGTGGTTGACGCGAACAACCTGTACGAGTTCCTCTCCCACAACGTGGAGCACTCTGCCCGCAGAGACGTGGTCAACATCCTCACCCACGAGAGGTTCAAGTTCAACTGGGACAACCCCACGGGGCACTACCGCCTTGAGATGCAGAAAAAGGTAAGGACATGGTTCTTTCTCTCCTATTCCTTGCTTTGCTGGAAGCAGTGCGGTGATGGTGGTGGTGGTGAGGGCATATTCCCTATTGTGCTCTTCTGTTTCTTGATGCGCTGTAATTGCTAGGATAAGTGGTGAAGGCTGTGTTGTTTGTGGTGTTGATGATAAACAGGCCACATTTTTCGGCCTGTGTTGCGTGCACCATACCAGACGCGGCCATCTGGAGCGGTTGGAACCTCGATGTGGTAAACCGGGGGAAGATGGACATTTTCTGGGTCGCTTGATGTGTTCGATGCCCCCCCCCCCCCCCCTACCGGCTGGATACAGACGACAACGGCTGTGTAGATGATGCCGCAATGATATCACTGTTGAGAAAGGTCCCGGACGTTCCATGACATGTTCTTCTACCTCTTTGACAATGAGCCCCCCCCCTCCCCCTACCGGCTGGATACAGACGACAACGGCTGTGTAGATGATGCCGCAATGATATCGCTGTTGAGAAAGGTCTCGGACGTTCCATGACATGTTCTTCTACCTCTTTGACAATGAGACCGGAACCGCAACACACAGGAGCATGTTTTGGTCGGCACAGTGACCAACTAGCAACCTAAGTCGTGGCTCCCACATAAACTACGAGGGTGTTGTGACAAACGCCCTCGACCCCCTTTCACCGTAGCCTCCTCTTATACCAGTACGCAGCTATGATAGACTTTAGCGGGTCGAGTCCGTCACAACCGATTTCGACCATCATATATCGGAGCCCCCTCGTTTTTGGTACCCTCTTTCATCGGAAGCACAACTGCACAGGGTCTAGCTCTCCGGCCTAGATGTTTCGTAGCACTTTCAACAATAACGAAGGGCCCAGTCCACGAGAAGCGTAAGCCGTCTCTCAGATGATGGCCACGCACAAGGGTATTTTCCCGACTGCAGCGTAGTGTTTGGTGAGATGATGGCACGCATGAAGGGTTTCGACGCGGATTGCAGTGTTAGTTTTGGGGATGATGACCACGCATAATGGGTTGCAGCATTAGGTTTGGTGTACACTAAGTGTGGGGTCGACATGTTCCGGCTACCAAACGCATCACAAAGGAGGCTATAGCCGCCGTACGATGAGAAACCTCTTGTGACGGAAGCATTGGCATGCACTATGATGCAAATATTTTAGCGGGTAAACGAATAAGCGGCCACCCCCAATCTCGCGGCTCGCGCACAAAAAAAAAAAACGCTTTGTGCCGTTGGGTCGATATGCCTCGACGAACCAATCCCAGGCGGCGCTTCGAGAGAGCGCGCTTGCGTGCCGACATGTCTTTCTGCGGCAACGGCACACAACACCGTTACCAACGTCTACGTCCATGCAACTGTCGACTTTCGTTCAGCTCTAACCGCCCCGCGGCCGTGCTGTTGTTCTCGGTGCCCCTCCGGGGTCCTTAACCGCCTTTCATCACAAAATGATGCTCAAACCGCCAGTCGCACCGGGAGATCATGATGCTGCTTTCGATGGTGCACTCTCGGGAGATCCTTCAGGGCAAGAAGGAGGGGAGGGGGGACACCTCCCAGGGCCAAAACTGGTCCAACTTTCGAAACGCCAGGATGGACAAGGTGCGATGAAGACCGTTTGGGGTGCTCGGCAGAGTACACTGCCTACGGGGCCTCCGGGGGATACGCGGATGATATGTGTTCATGGACATGCTACACGGCGATGGTGTGGCCTGCCGCATGTCTCTCATTCTCTAAGCAATAAGGTCTGGAGTCAACGTTCTTTCTCTTGCGGCCTCTGACGAAGCTCCGGCACCCAAGCAAAGATACCCTGTTCGTGGAATGTAGGTGGGGCTCCGCAGATAATTTTCTGAGGGTACTCCCTTTCGAATCTCTACATGCAAAACACTTGACAACAAACATTCCTTTCAACCTGTGGAATTGTATCGAACGGGTAGTGTTTCTGTGAGATTGTGTATACTTTATTATAAAAATATCAGCATCACCTAGAAACCTGAGCTACAAAAGCACTGTCACACGAAGAGGCACGCCGCGTCGAAGCTTACGTTGTCATCATCCCACATATCAATCAGCCAATTGTCTTGCCGCAGTCCAACTCTCTCCGTGTGAACCGATTTGGAAGAGGGGGACGTGTACTCATTTATTCGCATGCCGTAGCCGATAGACCATTGGCTTCGCACCCCTACACTGCCGGGACGGAGCGATAAGCCCGGTTTCCGCCAGCCCAGGCTATCTTCCACAAGGACGAACCAAGAAGCTGTTCATCATCCTGGGGGCGTGAGAAAAAATAATCAAACTCCACCCAATAAGAGTACATTGGATCGGCATCCATCACGCCAGCGTAGATAGACACCGAAACAACAAAGCTGTTTCGGTGTGCCAGTCGTTCGGCAGACTGCTTCTCGGGTTGATTCTGCCATCAAGCTTAGGCAACGAGCCAAGCCTCCGCGCAAACCCCTCCCAAACAAACGTGTGCTAACCCTGTGTAATGGCTCTTGTCTCGGTGCATCAACCGTTGTCTTTCGCGGGTAGTGTTAAGGGGGCAGAGAAAGATTGGGCAATCCTCCAAGCAGGCATGTCAGAATTGCTGCCTAGAGCCTAACGTAGGGTAACGAGTGAACAAGAACGCGACCGGGCACACACACATAAAGCACGTTTTCATTTCGAGGGTTGTTTAGACGACTTCTTGCGTTGGTACTTTTCACGACAAGCAACGAATACCCGAAGCAGAAAGAAATCGAACCGCACAGAAAGAAGAGCCAATGATTGTCAGATTCCGTGGCTGTTCTCAATGGCCTATACGTTGAGCCAGAATCGGATTTGGCGGGGCAAGAGAAATATTAATCCCTCGAGAACAGAGTCCCAACACTACAATAGTTGAGCCGACACAGCCCGTGAACTGCCGCGTTCCGCTGACGGCGGGTTGCCTGGCTCTCGAAAACCGGGTGTGATTAATCTACAGGAGCCGGTTGAGCTGGTGGAGACGTCGGTGGCTAACCTTCCAGTGTCAGGGGTGCTGGAGTTCGATTACGTGTCGACCGCAAAGGTCCCCCCAGATTGCGCCCACGCCACCGATTCCCAGGTGATATAGTTTAGGCTGTCGGCTGTTGTTGTTATTGTCGTTGTTGTTGTTGTTGTTGTTGTTGTTGTTGTTGTTGTTGTTGTTGTTGTTGTCGTTGTTGTTGTTGTTATTGTCGTTGTTGTTGTTGTTGTTGTTGTTGTTGTTGTTGTTGTTGTTGTTGTTGTTGTTGTTTCTGTTGTCGTCGTTGTTGTGTGGTGTTGCTGCCGGTGCGGTTGCTGTGTGGTCGCTCTTCTCCTGGTTTGTTATTTTTCACGGGTTGAAATGACACCGCCGAACTTCACGAATCTGTCGAGGGGGGTTAACACAATCACAGTTACACCGAATGTGTGCTGCCATAACTTCCCGGAAACAAACGCCACAGAACCCAAACAACAAAGCATGCACACCCGATATTCCTCAAAAAGATGCCCCCTCCACTCTGAACAATGTGCTTGATCCCTTTTTGTGGCTCGATCGACTATCTCGGATTACAGGTGCAAGCCTTGCAGGAGTCGCTCCACCTACTCCCCAGGCGCACCTTCGGAGAGAAGACCAACTACATGCTTGCCGTGCTGCAGCTCCAGCAGGCTGCCGCGCGCTACTACTTCTCGACACCCCAGGTGAAGATTCTTGTGCTTCCCTCTCGAAGGCCCCCGGGTGCAACGAATTCCGCAAGGCTGAACATGGCGGTGCCTTTCAAAAGGCAAACATTGTTAAAAACACGGGGAAAAACAAGTTTGCGACTCATGAATCGTAGCATACAGTGTCCGTCCTGCGTATCGATTTTTCGATCGAAACTGTGTGATTGGTCATGGCAACATGAAGACTGTGCGGTTGTAGTAGACGTGAGAGACCACTTTTCATAACCTGAAAACCGGGGTAGGGGAAGAGTAGTCGGCATCTCCCTACCATTCCGTGTGCAAAGTGATGGCGTTCTACCGAGCTACACCCGAGAGCGAAAGAGGGCTGCCGCGTACGGGAGCAGACGGAAAGAAAGACTCGCAGTGGCTACTCGATGCACGGCGGCGACCACTCATGTTGCGCCTACGGCCTCTTGGTCAATATCCCGCTGGACGTTTTTCGACATGATACGGTGCAATCTGCAAAACACTGTCTGCACTCGTTGATGCATGCGGTAATCGCTACCGCAAAATTTATCCTTGTCACATCACGGTCCACCCTCACTTTCCCCTGGCTGTCTCTCTGTCTGTCTGTCTGTCTGTCTGTCTGTCTGTCTGTCTGTTTGTTTGTCTGTCTGTCTGTCTGTCTGTCTGTCGGTCGGTCGGTCTGTATATCTGTCGGTCTCTTTGGCCCTTTCTCTCCCTCTCTCTGTCTTTCTCTCTCTATGTCTCTTTCTCTCTCTCACTCTTTCTCTCTGTCTGTCTTTCTCTCTCTCACTCTCTCTCTCTCTCTCTGTCTCTGTCTCTGTCTCTCTCCCTTTCTCTATTTATCTCTCCCTCTCTCTCTCCCGCTCTCTCTTCTCTCCCCCCCCCTCTCCACAACCCCCCCCCGTCTCCCCAAAAAACAACAACAATCCTCAAATTCTTTAAAAAAAC